AAGGTCACCAAATCCATTCTCATAGTCAGTCCAGTTCCTAAAGAAATCAACAGATCCATCTTGTCTCCTCTGAAATACAGTCCATCCACCACCATCAGTCTCCATATCACAGTATACCTGTGATCCAATAGTGTATAATTATAAAGTATAATACAATTAAATATTACTTGGAAAGCTGGTCCATTATCCGGTTTTATAGGATATACTCCATTTTGTTTAATTCCGAGTTCTTTCCATGCTTTACAATCAGTTAGCATTACACATTCTATAAATAATAAACAAGTGTTCATTAATAGTGTCAATATTATTTCATTCCATTACAGTACCTGGTGTAGCATTAACACTAGTGTTAGTGATGGTAACAACTGGAGAAGTTGTCTCCTTCTCATCATCAGGACAGTTTCCATTGACAGTATTAATAATAACAATTATTATCATTAAACTGTACATCAGTTTACCAGCTAACATCATCTTGATTAGGAGTCACTTTTATCTACTATTGAAAGAGAGATAAGAATAAATCTTAAAGTAAAGAGAGATTTTCTTTCTTTTATAATGAGTGAGTCAGTGGCACTGCTTGTAGGTGTATTGTTTGTGTTAAGAATGAACCATAATGTTTGGATTGTAGTAAAAATAATGATTGAAGCTTATTTTCATTAGCATTTCTATTTTAAAATGTTTGTTTAAGTTTTTAATTATATCCAGCATTCCTTTATTATTTTAAAGTTAAAGACATGTTTACTCTGTGTAACATTGTGTTAAAATAAGTTAGTTTAAATAAAATAAATTATTTTAGAAATAGAATAAATTTATTTTCTTCTTCTTTTGTTATTGAACCATTATCATGGACAGGTCATTTACCACTCACTTTATTGCTAGTAAAATGATTTATAAGTTGTATTATGATATTAATCACTGATGAGGTTTAACATTATTAGGAAATAACTTTATTATAAAAGTAACAAAATAATCTAAAAACACTAAGTAATAACTGATTCTACACAATCCTGTCACACACACAAGGTTTAATTATTACGACGAGTTTTCATCTCAGAGAACTTGAGACTATAGCTATCTCCTTTCTAATCATACCATATGATTCCGTCCCCTTCACCGGCTCCAGTTGGATTATTATAATAGGGACCATTGAGGTGAGATTGAAAGCTAGCATTAAACCACCAGGCACCATTGTAATAATCAGCACAATTGAAACCACCAAATTGATCATTATCATTATCTCTTGTAGAGAATTTCATTCCATTGTGATTCCAAATATGACCATATAAAGGATCAGTAATCAGTCCATCCCCAGCAGTACCAGAGTATCCTCCTACTGTTAGTATATATTCAGTACTACCATCACTAACATTAAATGTAGAGTAGTTAGCATAAGCTGTGTTCCCCTCAAAGTCTCCCAGGTCCACTCTTAGTGTGTTTGATCCTTCTTTAGTAAGACGATGAATCTTGCTCAATCCTAACCAAAACTCACCAGTAAGGTCACCAAATCCATTCTCATAGTCAGTCCAGTTCCTATAGAAATCAACAGATCCATCTTGTCTCCTCTGAAATACAGTCCATCCACCACCATCAGTCTCCATATCACAGTATACCTGTGATCCAATAGTGTATAATTATAAAGTATAATACAATTAAACATTACTTGGAAAGCTGGTTCATCATCTGGTGTTATAGGATATACTCCACTTTGGTTCTTTCCCAGTTCTTTCCATGCTTTACAATCAGTTGGCATTACACATTCTAAAGGAAGAGAATAGTAAATCACAGAATAGTATTGAATATTCCCATAGTAATCATAGACTTTATAATTAGTATTATTGTACCTGGTGTAGCATTAACACTAGTGTTAGTAACAAGTGGAAAAGTTTTCTTCTCCTTCTCATCATCAGGACAGTTCCATTGACAGTATA